ACGAACTACTTACATATGTATGATACTTAAAAGTTTTAACAATGAAGTTTAAAAGAAAAAATCTTAACAATATGACAATAAAATTTGGGTAAATATTTAGATATGTTTATTTTACATGGCTGAGTTGATTTATAAGTTCAAAAGCCTGAAATATAATTTTCTTTTAATATTATTCGAATACAAACAAAAACTATCACTTTGCTTATTATTTTTTTTAGATAAGCCATATGCTATGCTTATTAGCCACGTGTAAAATTTGATTCATAACATGGCTCAGTCTTTTCAAAGTCTTAGAGGATTTGATCCTTGAATTTCACCAGGGGTTTCGTCTTTACAAGAGCTTCTTTCTGCGCACGATTTGATCCACACGTAAGTATATATTTATCGCTTTTCTCGTGATATGTGTCACAATTAAATTTTAAAATATTAATGTATTCAAAGCAAAATTATACGCATAAGGGCAACTATAAATGTTATAAAAAATGATGGTAAAAACATGGTGTTCAGACATAAATATCAGTGACCCGATTCAAATTTGAATATCTATTCACAGGATCTTTAGCACTTTTTATTTTTCTTTTTAGGATTTTTTACTGGGTTGATGGAATGATAATCAGTGATCAAAGATGAGAACGAAAAGCTCCTCATAGATATAACTACTGTTAGGCGAAACTATTTTTGACAAATAGCAAAAGAAGAAACTAAACCCGGAGAAAGACGAACTGGCCAAACTCTTGCAAAACGGCGAAACTCCTGGTAAAGACGAAACCCCTGGTGAAATTCAAGGATCAAATCCTCTAAGACTTTGAAAAGACTGAGCCATGTTATGAATCAAATTTTACACGTGGCTAATAAGCATAGCATATGGCTTATCTAAAAAAAATAATAAGCAAAGTGATAGTTTTTGTTTGTATTCGAATAATATTAAAAGAAAATTATATTTCAGGCTTTTGAACTTATAAATCAACTCAGCCATGTAAAATAAACATATCTAAATATTTACCCAAATTTTATTGTCATATTGTTAAGATTTTTTCTTTTAAACTTCATTGTTAAAACTTTTAAGTATCATACATATGTAAGTAGTTCGTTAACATTATTATTACTGGCAATTATTTCCCGATTCTCTATTTTATCTAGCCCTAAATCTCAAGGCACCTTTAAGGAAATAATTGTTATGTTATTGCCCTATAATAGGTCAAATGTAAAATTTAGATTGTTAATTAAAAAGCATTGTAAATGACAGCATAATTATGCATGTTTTGTATCAAATTAAATTTGTGTTTGGTCAAAATTAAATACTAGAATTGGGTAAAACCTCTAATAGAATTAGTGATTGTATTCATTCTGAAATCAAATCATGGTCATTTGTGAGTAGGTTACCCGGGTAGTAATATGTATACAGTTTTTATTATTGCTAACCTTACTATAGTTTAGCTTCCTAAGATGCAATTTCTCAGATTTTATAATTCCAATATTTCTTTTTTCTAACAAAATATATTTGCGTTCTGTTATAAAACCTTATACTAACTAAAATTGATGCTCCTATGTATATCTAAATCTAAGCCTTGTCTAAAATTATACTCTAACCCTAAATTTTCTTTCTGGTTAAATATAGCTATCTTCAAACTAAAATATATAAAATTTATATTTATATTCTTTAAGGATTTTGCAGGAAGGCAGTACTGTATTCTTATTTTTCGCATACCCGACTTGACCAATCAGATCATCAAATTTTGTATAATAAACGAATGTAAACAAAACAAAAAAGTTACTAAATCTAAATATTAAGAAAACTTAAAAATATTTACATATTTTTTTGCATTACCGTAAATTCTCGAAATAGTGGGCATGAGCGTTATTTCGAATTTTGGCAAGAATTAAGCCTAATTCGGGGCTTAATTCAGGCCAAAATTCAAAATAACGCCCATACCTGCTATTTCGAGAATTTACGGTAGTGAAATTTCATGCTGAACATTTTTACTTAGAAGCTAAAAATGATTGTTTTAGTATAATTATGAGATATCTTCAAAAAATCAAAAGAAAAAAAAAAGCAGAAAATTGTAAATATTTTATCACGAAATTTTACATTTAGATGCAGAATATTTTTTAATTTTTCTAATAAATATTATATGAGCCAATATCAAAAAAAAACTTTTTCCAACTTTTGTTCTAAAAAATGATTTATTAACTAACCAACCATAATCGAGATGCAATCTATACATTTCCTAATATCATAACAAAATAAATGAATAAAATTTCAAGATTAGGTCGTAATACTAAATCTAATCAAAAGCTTTATTATATAATGTAAGAATTAGTATATATAATTATAAATATCGTTTCTATGTTCCTGAATTTAGTGCACATCTACCTTATAATAATAAATTCTCTTACATGTAACGATCATTGCCGAAATCAATAACTTAATCGAATCAGCCGAAAAATCATTCGGCAAATTTTTATCATGTGTCCCAGAATTTATGAAAACAGCTGTAAAAGAAAAATCTCTTATCAACCGGCCCGGCCCACAAAGGTGCCGGCTGAGGGTCGACCCGCCCATCGACCCAGCCGTTGGGCCGGGGGCGACCCGTATCACTATGCTTCACCCAATGTTCAAGCAGACTATGCAACCACGTCCTTTCTTATTCAATGTTTTAAATAAAAAAACACTTTACTAACAAAAGGTAACCTCCGAAAAGTTAAATTTTTACATTTATTAATAAAAAATCCAGTAGATCTATTTTAGAGGGCAAATACATTACTGTCTATTACTATGCATTGCTAGTTATGCCCATCCATATATAAATTTGAATGTTTAAGACATTGGACACAAGTATTAACATAAATATATCAATTTTTTTTTATTTTAATAGTGTATTAAAATATTCAGCAGGTACGTTGTGGAAGTGTAACTTAGTGAGTCGCGTCAGAAATATTACGGGGTCACTCTAGAATAACTCACTACACAAAATGCCAATACTAAATAAAATACTTCAACCTGAACACTATAACTACTTTCATCAAACCCTAATATTGGTAAGGCAACGATCGAGGCATGGAAAGACTTGGTCCGAGTAACTAGGGTTATTTGGGTGGGTAGGGATAGTGTTGTGCTTAGATAAGTGTCTTCTTATTTCCGTTTGGTGTTTGAATCACCTTTTCCTTTTACTTTACTAATATATTACCTCGTTCGTTAGGAGTTACTGCGGCTATGAACTCGACTTGACGATATCACATGGTCACGGGGTCACGATCCAAATTAATTTATGTAGGTTACGATTTAACAATGGAGGCAATCACAAACTTAATCAATTTACGTTTATTATATATAAGGAGTCTAATTACTAATGGTTATTCTTTCTCTTTCTTTTTCAGTATGAAAAATTAGAATACGATGGTCACGGGGACAAGAGATACGACAAACGACAAACGTTTTATCGATCAAAGGGAAATAAATCGTAAGGAACTTATTAAAGGCAAACACTTCTATTCAAGACTTAGAAGGTTTTGAACTCTACGAGTTATTTTTATTCCAAGGTGATTTTGTGCTACTTATATACTTATTTTTATATATAGAATAAATTTTGAAAATTTTAACGATTTCTTCTTTTTACATTATTTTTACAATTTACTCGTTTATCATTATTTTTACAATTTACTCGTTTATCACTATTTTGTTAATTTATTCAATTCACCAAATTTACCAAATTTATCAAATTCGCTAAATTTACCAAATTCGCTAAATTTACCAAATTTTTAAAATTTACAAAATTTTGAAAATCGACCTTGTACCACACCGGTGCTTATCTTTACCGAGAGGGGTAATTTCAACGCTCACATTTCTCCTCCACTAAAAGAAGCACGTTCTACAGGCAAAATTTGACAGAGACGTTGAAATTCCTGCTTTTTTAACGCAGCAATCATAGGGATCATTGTTCAAGTAGTATGATAAATTTGTTCGACTCCGTGAGGTTCGAACAAATAATAAACTCTAGTTGCGGTCTTTATGAGGTAGCGAGTATATTGGCCTGATAACGTCGCTTTTTCAGCTGGGGTCATTAAATGAACTCGGGCACCAAAATAGTAGGCGTGAACAAGACTTTGGGTATGGTCTCCTCTTTCTTTAGCCTTTTTCATACCATCATGGGCTAAGAACAGCTGGGTTTGCAAGTCTTGATCTGTCTTATAGGGACAGGGGTCAGGGAACACAAACAGAGGCTCTACCGCCAAGAGGTCTTCTCTAATAAGGACTTTGTTATTAGACATGATTATTAACTTGAAAATTTATTATTTATTATTTTTTTGATTTTGATTTCTTTTTGTTGTTTGTTTGGTTTTTTTTTTTTCACTAATTATTTTCTTCTCTATTTATATTCCTTTCGTAGTAGGCCTTCAATAACCATTTGTTAAATGAAGTAGTTAATACCTGTTCTTTCAAATTGCGCAACTTATAGGCCCTGTTCCCGAAAACACTATAGATATAATATGGGCCTTTCCATTGTGGTATTAGCTTATGGCTATGGGTTCCCATTCTCCTTGCATCTTGAACGAATACCTTGTTCCCAATCTTAAAGTCGGGGGTGACTTTAATTCGTCGATCATGATCTCCCTTTTGTTTTTGTTAATGGACTTTAATGCGATCTAGGGCTTGCAATCTTACTTAAGGTAGATCATTTTCTATTTCATATATTCGCTGAATGTTCGTCCCATCCAACATATTACTTGACTAACTAGGATAAATAGGCAGTTTGGCGCTTCTGCCATACAGAAGGAAAAATGGCGTTTGCTGTATAGTGCTGTGCTTTGCCATCCTAAATATGAATAATACGGGTGAGATCAGTAGATCCCAGTCAGTTACGTTTTTCACAAGCTTCGAAATGGAAGTGCATAATAACTTGTTGAATCGTTCAACAAGTCCATTGGTCTGAGGATGATAAGGGCTTAAATACTGATATTTAATTTGTAAAGATGCGAGTAAGTTATCAATGAGCTTGTTCCTAAAATGGGAGCCTCTATCTAGAGTTCCTATCCATTATCCTTTATCCATTTATCTACTAGATATCCAGATCTGAATTTATTCAGATACCCGTTTTACTATTGATATCCAAATAATTATCCGAGTATTTGTCAGATTATCTGGATATCAATAGTAAATGGATATCCGGATAAATTCAGATATGGATAAATGGATGACAGATTTATCCGGATTGAAACTCTACCTCTATCTGATAGAAGGTACGTTGAATAACCATGACAGCATATGATCTCCTTGTAAATAAACTTAGCCACTTCTTCTGCCGTTTCTCTAGGAATTGCGTGTGCTTCTGGCCATTTTGTCATATAATTGGTGGCCACTACTATGTAACATTCGAACGTGAAGTTATTGGCAAGGGACCGACTATATCGATGCCTATTCTACAAAATGGGGCCCCAACTGAAATGGGATGTAATTTCTCTCTAGATCATCATTCTCCTTGCTTTTGACAATTTTCACACGATCTAATGTATTGTCTTATGTCGTTGTACATTTGCGGCCAGTAATAATAATCCTGAATTTTATTGAACACTATTTCTGTTCCCAAATGTCCTCCTATGGGATGGTCATAGATTTGAGCTAGTATAGGCTCTACTTCGTGTTCTATGAGGACCTTTAACAAGTTATCTTGCCATAGCCGATCTTTCTTATACAACGTTCCCTCTTTGACAACGAAAAATCTACTTTGGGCCTTTAATTTTTGTCGCTGATTTTTGTTATAGTATGGTGGGTATTGTTTATGTTGGATAAAATCCTTTAATATTGCAAATTGTTGTTGATCCATTATGATTGTTTTTCTTTTTTTTTTTTTTTTTTTTTTTTTTTTTTTAGATATAATGCCAGGATACCGACGACCTGGACTGGATTGCTTTTATTGTCGGGTTTTTGATTTCTGTTGGCGAAATAGGTGTTTGGAATCTTTTTCTTTCCTTTTGTCCCAATGCAAGTTGCTTCAGTAAACTCATTCGATTTTTCTTGTAGTTTTGCTTGGAATTCTGGTGTAAGCTCTCTCTTTTTTTTTTTTTTTTTTTTTTTTTTTTTTTTTTTTTTTTTTTTTTTTTTTTTTTTTTTTTTTTTTTTTT